CTTCCCCTTGCGCACCAAGGGTGAGGTCCCTGATGTTTTGATCCCTTGGATCCGCAGAGCTCGTCTCCAGCTCAGCGAGCGTTTCCGCTCGGACTTTCCTGTCCTGCGCTTGCACTCTGACAGAGGTGGTGAGTTCTCCTCCGACCTCTTGGCAGCCTACTGTGCTGAGCACGGCATTGAGCAGTCGTTCACGCTTCCGGCCTCTCCACAGCAGAATGGGGTTGCGGAGTGCCGCATTGGCCTGGTCATGGAGGTCGCTCGTACCTCCTTGATCCATGCGGCTGCCCCCTACTTTCTGTGGCCGTTTGCGGTCCGGTACGCTGCGCATCAGCTCAACCTCTGGCCCCGTGTCTCCTTGCCGGAGACCTCGCCCACACTGCTGTGGACGGGGGAGGTTGGCGATGCGTCGCGTTTCCGGGTCTGGGGATCTCGAGCTTTTGTCCGCGATTCGTCTGCGGACAAGCTCTGCTCTCGTGCTGTTCCCTGCGTCTTCCTCGGCTTTGTGTCGGACGCGCCTGGGTGCAGTTTTACCACGCCACCTCGCGCCGGGTCTTGCCCTCTCAGGACGTCACTTTTGACGAGTCTGTCCCCTACTACCGCCTCTTCCCCTACCGCACTGCCCTGCTCCCACCCCCGCCTCTCTTCCTCGCGCCAGGTGCTGCTGTCGTAGACCCCTACCCCCCCTAGGGTGCCGCTCCCTCAGGTGTGTCTCAGGTAGACCCGGTCGAGCCTGTTGAGGTTGCTGTCGACTCTCGTCCTGCTGGGGGTGCTGAGCCTGGGGGTGCGGACTCTGGGGGTGCTGAGCCTGGGGGTGCGGACACTGGGGGTGCTGAGCCTGGGGGTGTTGTGCCTGGGGGTGCTGAGCCTGGGGGTGCGGTGACTGGGGGTGCTGAGCCTGGGGGTGCTGGGTCTGGGAGTTCTGACTCTGGCGGTGCTGGGCCAGGGGGTCCTACACCGGGACGAGACCTCTCCTCGGAGCAGTTGCGTGAGTGGTACTTACAGTACTGCAGCCTCCGGAGAGGTACCTCTGGGACCAGGCGCGCTACGGAGACTGGTGCTGGTACTTCTCCTCCTAGTCGGGAGCTCCCCTCTCTTGAGCGGATCCGTGAGTGGTACGAGCGCCGTTGCACTCTTCGTAGTGGCGCGCCTCGTCTCACGGACCCTGCTGCTGCTGGTGCTGCGGACCCGGGCGTTGGAGCTGCTGCTGGTGCTGAGGACCCGGGCGTTGGAGCTGCTGCTGGTGCTGCGGACCCGGGCGTTCGAGCTGTTGCTGGTGCTGAGGACCCTGGCGTTGGAGCTGCTGCTGGTGCTGCGGACCCGTGCGTTGGAGCTGCTGCTGGTGCTGAGGACCCGGGCGTTGGAGCTGCTGCTGGTGCTGCGGACCCGGGCGTTGGAGCTGGTGCTGCGGACCCGGGCGTTGGAGCTGCTCCTGGTGCTGCGGACCCGGGCGTTGGAGCTGCGACTGGTGCTGGGGACCCTGGTGTTGGAGTCCCTGCTGGTGCTGCGGACTCGGGCGTGAGTACTGCCGCTGGGGGCACTAGTGCTGTCCCTACTGTGTCTGGAGTCGCCGCGCGCCCTCAGCCGTACTTCGTTCCGCTCCTTCAGCAGGTTCTTGGTCTCTCGCCTCCTCCTGGTCCTCCTCCTCCTCCTTTAGTGTGTCCACAGCCTGTCCAGTCACTGCCTACTCCTTCTCCTTACTCTGGTCCTACTGACGGTCTTACTGAGCGTCGTGAGCCTGCGTCTCGCCCTGCGTCGCCTGTCCGTCCTACTAGCACTAGTGCTCGTAGTTCGCGTCCGCGTCCCCCTCCTGCCCCTGGCACGCACCGGATGTCTCTGCGTCCGTCCACTGCTCCTCTGCGTGCCCCTTTGCCTTCTCCTCCTGCTTCCTCTCTTCCTGCTCTTGCCGACCCGGAGTCGGACTCTCTTCGTGCTGCCAGTCCTACTGTCACGCGTCTCCTTGCTGCTGCTGTCACTGACCCTTCTTTCGAGTCTTCTGCTGCGTCTGCCCTTGTCACTAAGCTCGTCGACTTTGCTGCGCGCTGTCGTCTAGACTACGCTGCTAGTCTTGTCGCTGAGTCTGAGTCTGCCTGTCCTCCGTCCGTCGGGGTGAGTGTGCCCTTGGCACAGACAGCCTTGAGGACAGGCAGGAGGAGTTCCAGTGTCTGGCCGCCGCTTCACCTCATCTCGTGTCTGTACTGCTAGCCCCTGAGGGAGACCCGGATGCACTTGACATCCCGACTCCGCGCTCTTACGCGGAGGCGATAGAGGGTCCCTACTCCTCTCAGTGGCAGGCAGCTATGGATGCAGAGATGGCTTCCTGGAAGTCCACAAGCACCTACGTTGACGCTGTTCCCCCTCCTGGGGCGAACATAGTCAGTGGCATGTGGATTTTCAGGGTGAAGCGGCCGCCGGGTTCTCCGCCTGTCTTCAAGGCGCGTTACGTGGCTCGTGGCTTCAGTCAGCGGCAGGGAGTTGACTTCTTTCAGACCTTCTCCCCCACCCCGAAGATGACCACTCTTCGAGTACTGCTGCACGTTGCTGCTCACCGGGACTACGAGCTGCACTCTCTCGACTTCAGCACAGCTTTCTTGCAGGGCAGCCTGCACGAGGAGATCTGGCTGCGTCGCCCACCTGGCTTCACTGGGTCTTTCCCTCCTGGTACCCAGTGGAGTCTCCGGCGTCCAGTCTACGGTCTCCGCCAGGCGCCACGTGAGTGGCACGACACACTGAGGACTACGCTTGCGGCTCTTGGGTTCGCTCCTTCTACTGCTGACCCGTCGCTGTTTCTGCGCACCGACACCTCTCTGCCGCCGTTCTACATCCTCGTGTACGTCGACGACTTTGTTTTTGCCACAGCAGACACTACTGGACTCGCCTACGTGAAGTCCGAGCTGCAGAAGAGACACACGTGTACTGACCTGGGTGAACTGCGTAGCTACCTTGGCTTGCAGATCACCCGGGACAGAGCACGCTGCACCATTACCCTGACTCAGTCACACATGGTGCACCAGGTCCTTCAGCGCTTCGGCTTCACGTACTCCTCGCCTCAGGCCACTCCTCTGTCTACTCGCCACTCGCTCTCAGCTCTGCCTTCGGATGAGTCCGTAGAGTCGAGTGGCTCGTACCCAGAGCTTGTTGGCTGTCTCATGTACCTGATGACCTGCACACGACCTGACCTTGCATACCCTCTTAGCATCCTTGCACGCTATGTTGCTCCTGGGAGACACCGACCAGAGCACATGGCTGCAGCGAAGAGGGTGTTGAGCTACTTGTGCAGTACGTCGGGTATGGGACTAGTGCTTGGAGGGCGGAGTCCAGTGGTCCTCACTGGGCACGCAGACGCTTCTTGGGCTGACGACCAGGCTACGCAGCGGTCGTTACAGGGTTACACCTTCAGCCTTGGTTCCGGCTCTGTTTCGTGGCGGGCTACTCGCTCGTCTTCTGTTCTCGGCTCCAGTTGTGAGGCTGAGATCTACGCAGGGGCCATGGCTGCTCAGGAGCTTCGCTGGCTCACCTACCTGCTGACCGACCTTGGAGAGCCGCCTCGTTCTCCTCCAGTCCTGTACGTCGACAACAAGGCCATGCTGGCCTTGTGTCGAGAGCAGAGACTGGAGCACAGAACAAAGCACATTGCTCTCCGCTACTTCCTTGCTCGTGAGCTACAGCAGCGTGGTCAGTTGCGACTTGCGTACGTGGCCTCTGAGGCCAACACTGCTGATGTTTTCACCAAGGCACTTCCGCCTTGTGATCATCAGCGCTGCTGTACCCAGCTGGGTCTTGTGTCTGTCTTGCCTCACTTGCTCTCCTCTTGACCCTCTTTGTACTGTTACATATATATATATCACTGCTCTTGCTTGTTTAGTCTTATATATATATGTACTCCTGCATGTGAACTGGCCTTGTGGCCTTGAACTTGTGCTCGGATTGTGTGGTGACATTGTGATCCACCCTGAGCTTGCTTTGCTTTGCTTTGCTTTACTTGACTGGTCTTGTGACCCCTAGTTCTCCCCCACTTCGCCTATGGGGGTGTGTTAAACAATATATATTGTTGTAGTTGTTTAGGCTACAGTGGGTTAGCCTATAGGGGGTACACACTTCTAGGTTTCCATATTTGTACTCATTTCATTCTTAGTCATTTCATTCCTTGTTCAACAGGCGGCTGCTACAATGGCGGCTGCTCCAGGGCGCGGGTTAGGGCAGGGCGCCGTGGCGGGCAGGGGTGACGCCACGCGGGTCCCGCAAGGGCGTCGCGACACGCAGGAGCTGCGCCTCGCGGGTCCCGCAGGGGCGTCGCGACGAGGCGGGGGCGACGCGCGGGTCCCGTTGAGGCGTCGCGACGAGGCAGGGGCGACGGGGCGGGGCTGCGACTGGCGACGGGGCGGGGCCGCGACTGGCGACAGGGCGGGGCCGCTACGGGCAGCATGGCGGGGCCGCGAAGGGAGCCGCGAGGGGGCCGCGAAGAGGCCGTGAAGGGGCCGCGAAGGGGCCGCGAAGGGGCTGTGAAGGGGCTGCGAAGGGGCCGCGAAAGGGCCGCGAAGGGGCCGCTAAGGGGCCGTGAAGGGGCCGCGAAGGGGCCGCGAAGGGGCCGCTAAGGAGCCGTGAAGGGGCCGCGAAAGGGCCGCTAAGGGGCCGCGAAGGGGCCGTGAAGGGGCCGCGAAGGGGCCGCGAAAAGGCCGCTAAGGGGCCGAGAAGGGGCCGCGAAAGGAGGCCGCTAAGGGGCCTCGAAGGGGCCGCAAAGGGGGGCCGCGACGGGCCTCAGGAGCAGGGCAGGCCACGAAGGGGACGCAAAAGGGTAGGGCAGGTCAGAGCAAGAGGCGCGCTTCGAGCAGGTTAGGAAAAAAAGTTTAATGGTGGGCCCTTAGGAAGAAACGGTCCCACTAGGGAATCTGCTCTATACCATGTCAGAATAACGAGGAATGAGTTGACTAGGAAACATGTGGGTACAAATAGGAAAACCTAGAAGTGTTGTACCCTATAGTGTCTACCCCACTACAGCCTAGATGATCATAGCATATAAGTTTGACAGAAACGCCTTCCCGTCCCCCACCCACTTGCTCCTCCCATCGCCTGCCTGGTCGCCTTCGCGCTCGCACTCAAACGCTCTCCCCGCGCCCTTCCTCTCTCCCTTCCCATCACTGACCTCGTCGCCCTCGTGCTCGTCCCGAAATGCCTTCCCATCGCCTTTCGTGTCTTCTCCCCAATCATTAATCTCTGAAACGCTCTCCATCGTCGGCCAATCCGCCCTTCGCTCTTGCTATGCAATGCCCTCTCCATGCCCTTCCTCCCTCCCCTCACAATCTGTCTTCCCTCCCCACATCCCGTCGTTCCTCTCTCCCCTTCCATCCCGTCGTTCCTCTCTCCCCTTCCATCCCGTCGTTCCTCTCTACCCTCCCACCCCGTCGTTTCTCCGCTCTACCCTCCCATCCTGTCTTTCTTCCTCTCTCCCCTCCCATCCCGTCGTTCCTCCTCTCTTCCTTCCTATCCCGTCGTTCTTCCCTTCTCCCCTCCCATCTCGCCGTTCCCCCTCCCTCCCCTCCTCTCTCGTCAGCCCCCTTGTCCCCAGTCCCTTCTCTTCGCCGTTGACCAATCAACTGTCCCGTCGCCCTTTCTCTTTTCGTACATCATTATTTTCTTTATTTATATCTTCTTCCTCTGATTTCACATGTGTGTGCCATGGATTTTGCTTGATAATGCCAGTGTTCGCGCATGATTTTGCAAATTTTTGCCTATGCGCGCTAGATTTTGCCCGTGTGTGCGCTGTTTTTTGCATATGGGAATTCTCGTGAAGTTACGACGACTACTATGTTGAATGTGGGATTGCAGCCTTGCGCCAAATTCGCATACGAATGTGGATGAAAGTCGCCACCAGTAAGATTTGTAAACAAGTTCCTCATGTTTCCTTTTCAGATCAAGACTCGTCTAGAATTAAAAAAAAAAAAAAAGCAAAAGCGCACAGGCCGTCAACTTTTCAAACGTTCGTCCCGAACTTGTGTTTTCAAGTGAACCCAACTAGAAGGGGGGGGTCACTATTTTAGCTGCTGGCTTTAACGCCGTCAGCCGTCAGAACAAACTATTCAGAGGTGCATCCATCCATAAGCCTAAGAGCGTGGAACATCCTTATGAACAAGGAGTTAGTCACTCAACTGCGTCGGTAACCACTTTTGCGATTCTCGCCGTTGAGCTTCGTAGGGGAGTGACGAAGATTGCAAAACCACACACGTTCCACAAGTTCAGTTCTTGGTCGCCCCACACTTTTTAAACCGCGCTGATACGACAGAAAATGGCGAGACACGAAGAAACATGCGAGTTGCAACCAAGTGTTGTTGTGACTGGAATACACGCACCCAATTTGCCGCGACTGAATTGACGAGTCGTTGCGATTCGTGTATCATCGCGGTTTCTCGCTGCTGGTCGACCAAGTTTCCCCCGTGTCCCAAAAGCGAGTCTGTGATTTGCAGTGGTTTTGTGTGCCACCTAACCAAAACCGTCACAAACAGCTTACGAAGCCAAGTGTTCGACCAGACAAGCGACCAATTGCTTGTTCATAAGGATCTTTCACACCCTAATCTATTGTGTTACGAATGAGCAATTTGATCACGCCCTGCGTCCTCCTTCCTTTTTGACGCTCCCGTTGCTCCCCCAATTTCCAACCCCAGAACCGAGCTGCCAAGTGGCCCACGCCCGACGTTGCTTGCACCGCTTCCATCGAGCCGACCCCTCTGTTTGCCGCCGACCCGCGGCCTCCGGCGGGCGCCAGAATGCGTGCAGTGCGCGCGACGTTCCTATGCCTGTCGCTCAACTTCACTCTTTGCAGCATCTTCAACGGCCGCCACTACACGGGCCGTGGCTCCCTGCCCATTGGCGGATCAGATGTCGCCACGTCAGCAGATACGAGATCAGCCGGCGTTTGGGCGTCGTCAGATGCGTCGGGGTTTGTGCTGATGGACTCGCGGCAGATCTGCACCCACGACCAGTGGTCGCGCGCCACGCAAGGCCTCATCCCCTCCTTACAAGCACTTACCTGGTAGTCGTCACGCTGACGTCAGCCATTTTGTCTTCCCAGCGCGAGTATCGCTGCACCCTCATTCCTTTCCTCTCCACTCGCCGCTCGCTTCCATCCCCTTCCCTCCAGTTTCAGCCCCTCGCTCGTGCCTCTTCACTGCCCCATCTCTCCCTCTTGATTGTTCCATCTACTAAACCCTAAACTCCTCCTTTTATCTCTTCCCCCTCACCCCTCTCAGCGCAAATGCCCTGCATCTTGCTATCCTTCATGCCACGCCTGTAACGCCTGTGGGCTAAGTGTTAATGGGCATTCCGCTGCGCCAAATAACACCCTCGTTTTGACCCAGTGGGTAGCGAGGTGTTATACTGGTATCAGAGCCTAGGGTTCAAATCCTGGCTGATCCACATTTTCCACCTGTGGCGAGAACTTGAATGTGGAAACCTGACTGAACCCAGTGAACGATCCTCCGCTGGCCTGGTCCACCAGCGAAGTCGCTGCTTGGAGCACAGCGAACAGGTCCCTGCGGGGGCCGACTCCCTGAAGTTCGTCAACGGGGACGTTGACACCAGGGGGGGACAAGTGTAACGCCTGTGGGCTAAGTGTTAATGGGCATTCCGCTGCGCCAAATAACACCCTCGTTTTGACCCAGTGGGTAGCGAGGTGTTATAACGCCGCCTTGATTGTTTTCACCCCAACCCCCCTGCCCCTCCGTCCCCTCCCCTTGCTGCACCCCCGTTCTCCCATCTCCCCTCCCCCCTCCCCTCCTGCCCCCTCCCCCACTCCATGCGGTGCGCGCCGTCCTCCCCCTCTCCATGAGGTGCGCGCCTTCCTCCCCCTCTCCATGAGGTGCGCGCCTTCCTCCCCCTCTCCATGAGGTGCGCGCCTTCCTCCCCCTCTCCCCTCGGTGCGCGCCGTCCTCCCCCTCTCCCCCCCCAGGAGCACCGCGCTGTGCGACGACGAGCTGCGCCTGCTCGCCTCGCTGCCGCCTCGCCCCGCCTCGCTGCACCTTGCCCCTCCGCCCCGCACACCCCCCGCCCCTGCCACGTGCCTGCGCCCCTTCGTGCGCAAAGGTGGGTCACAAATGTGGGTGGGTGGACCCCCGCCCTCCTGCTCACTGCTGCCTGCCCACATTACGATACAAGGTGCAGGGTGGTGCTGCATGGTGCAGGGCGGCGGTGAGAATGAGCTAGGTCGTCAACGTAGTGGTTGTGTGTGCATGGGGTTGGAGTGTGCATGGGGGGGTGTGTGTGCATGGGGGTGTGTGTGTGCATGGGGTTGGAGTGTGCATGGGGGTGTGTGTGGGCAACGGCTATGGGAGAAGTAGGGTTGAGCAAGAGGCGAACACGGACATGTTTGGTTCGCTTTGAACACCTTCTAAATGAAAGGTGTTCCTCTGTTCGCCTTTGGGGCCGAACACTTAGGCTGTTCGCCCCGAGCACCAACATGTTATAGGCGAACATGTTCGTGCTCACGCTTTCAGCAGCCTTCGTTATAATCACATCAACCAGTTTAGTGGATTTCCAAACCTAAACTTAAACCTAAACCTAAATGGCGCCAGACCTAAACTAGTATAGGATTGGATAGAAGAAAAGTGTTGCGCCAACCCAAAAAGTTGGAGTTTAATGAGAGATCAGGGCTGGCGCTAAGAGTCGATGCTGTGGTGGGTGTCTTAGCCAGGAATCGAACAAAAAAATGAGGCTGACAAAGTGAAACAGTCGACCTAAAACATGGGTCGCGCGGGACCTTTTGGGCGAACACGCCTGTGTTTGTCCGAAGGGTGTGGCAAACACGAACATGTCCTCCCCGAACAGAACACATGTTCGCTTGGATTCACAAGCCGTGGGGAAGGCATGGGGTTGGTGTGTGCGTGTGGGGAGCAGGCGGCTTGCATGTCATTCGCCACAGTTGCGCTCCACACCACAGCAAGCACCAAGCTCAATGCTTGAACCACATCACATCTCCCCCCTCCTCCCCCCGCCCTCCCTCGCCAGGCACCAAGCTCTACTCTCTCTCTCACGCGCCCTCCCCCGCTGCTGCCTCCGCCACCACTCCCCGCGCCCCCCCTCGCTGCCACGCCGCCTCCTCGCGGCACGCGGGGCGACTGGGCGGGCTTGACCTGTGCGTGATGCTGCACCCCTCGCCGCCCCCGCTGCCCCTCTTCCGCCCCCTCTGCCCCTCCCCCGCCTCCTGCTCCCGCCGCTGCCCTGCTCCAGGCACGGAATGGGCATGCAGAAAGGGGGAGGGCCATGGGGATTGTGGAAAAAAGAGTGTGATTCGAGGGAAGGGGAGGAAGGAAGATGAGAGCGGGGCGAGTGATGGTGGTGGGCATGATGGGGAGAGTGGGGCGAGTGATGGTGGTGGGCATGATGGGGAGAGCAGAGCAGGACGGGAAGGTGAGAGTGGAGGGTGGGGTCCTGGGAGGAGTGGAGCAGGAGGGAGGGGCGAGGGCGCAGCATGGAGAGGAAAGGCACCAGGGGAGCCCAACGGTGCAGAAGCGGACGCTGGTGGTAGCAGTGAGAGTGGGGGAGGAGGGAATGGGGGGAGAGGAGGGAAAGGAGGGAGAGGGGGGGGAGGGGGGGAGGCAGTGTGGGAGGCGGTGGTGGATGAGTATGTGGATGACGAGGGGGCGGTGCAGCACGAGGTGGACAACAACGCCCTGCTGCACACCGCCCTTGCCCTCGTCAGTCCCTCCTCTCCCCTGTCAGTCACTCAGTCAGTCAGTGAGTCAGTGAGTCAGTTAGATAGTCAGTGAGTCAGTGAGTCAGTGAGTCAGTGAGTCAATGAGTCAGTGAGTCAGTGAGTGAGTGAGTGAGTGAGTGAGTGAGTGAGTGAGTGAGTCAGCCGCTGCTCTGCCTCACCTGGCCGCTTATCTATTCGCTGGGCAACTCTTCTGTGTCACCTGCTCGCTGCCTCATGCCCTCTGCGCCATGCCCTCTGCGCCATGCCCTCTGCGCCATGCCCTCTGCGCCATGCCCTCTGCGCCATGCCCTCTGCGCCATGCCCTCTGCGCCATGCCCTCTGCGCCATGCCCTCTGCGCCATGCCCTCTGCACCATGCCCTCTGCGCCATGCCCTCTGCGCCATGCCCTCTGCCCCATGCCCTCTGCCCCATGCCCTCTGCCCCATGCCCTCTGCCCCATGCTCTCTGCCCCATGCTCGCTGCTCGTTGGAGTCAGATGCGGAAGAAGCACTTTCACGAAGCCATCACACTCTTCAACTTGGTATGATGGTGACGATGGTGATGATGGTAGTGATGATGGTTGTGATGATGGTAGCGATGATGGTTGTGATGATGGTTGTGATGATGGTAGTGATGATGGTTGTGATGATGGTAGTGATGATGGTAGTGATGATGGTTGTGATGATGGTTGTGATGATGGTTGTGATGATGGTTGTGATGATGGTTGTGATGATGGTTGTGATGATGGTTGTGATGATGGTAGCGATGACTCCCTATCGTCATCCCTTTCCTGCGCCCAACCTCCCATGCACCCAACCTCCCATGCACCCAACCTCCCATGCACCCAACCTCCCATGCACCCAACCTCCCATGCGCCCAACCTCCCTTGCACCCAACCTCCCATGCACCCAACCTCCCATGCACCCAACCTCCCATGCACCCAACCTCCCATGCACCCAACCTCCCATGCACCCAACCTCCCATGCACCCAACCTCCTATGCACCCAACCTCCCATGCACCCAACCTCCCATGCACCCAACCTCCCATGCACCCAACCTCCCATGCACCCAACCTCCCATGCACCCAACCTCCCATGCACCCAACCTCCCACGCATGCACCCAACCTCCCATGCACCCAACCTCCCATGCGCCCAACCTCCCATGCACCCAACCTCCCATGCACCCAACCTCCCATGCACCCAACCTCCCATGCACCCAACCTCCCATGCACCCAACCTCCCATGCGCCCAACCTCCCATGCGCCCAACCTCCCATGCACCCAACCTCCCATGCACCCAACCTCCCATGCGCCCAACCTCCCATGCACCCAACCTCCCATGCACCCAACCTCCCATGCACCCAACCTCCCATGCACCCAACCTCCCATGCACCCAACCTCCCATGCGCCCAACCTCCCATGCACCCAACCTCCCATGCACCCAACCTCCCATGCACCCAACCTCCCATGCACCCAACCTCCCATGCGCCCAACCTCCCATGCGCCCAACCTCCCATGCACCCAACCTCCCATGCACCCAACCCCCCATGCGCCCAACCTCCCATGCACCCAACCTCCCATGCACCCAACCTCCCATGCACCCAACCTCCCATGCACCCAACCTCCCATGCACCCAACCTCCCATGCGCCCAACCTCCCATGCACCCAACCTCCCATGCGCCCAACCTCCCATGCGCCCAACCTCCCATGCACCCAACCTCCCATGCACCCAACCTCCCATGCACCCAACCTCCCATGCACCCAACCTCCCATGCACCCAACCTCCCATGCACCCAACCTCCCATGCACCCAACCTCCCATGCACCCAACCTCCCATGCACCCAACCTCCCATGCACCCAACCTCCCATGCGCCCAACCTCCCATGCACCCAACCTCCCATGCACCCAACCTCCCATGCACCCAACCTCCCATGCGCCCAACCTCCCATGCGCCCAACCTCCCATGCGCCCAACCTCCCATGCACCCAACCTCCCATGCACCCAACCTCCCATGCACCCAACCTCCCATGCACCCAACCTCCCATGCACCCAACCTCCCATGCGCCCAACCTCCCATGCGCCCAACCTCCCATGCACCCAACCTCCCATGCACCCAACCTCCCATGCACCCAACCTCCCATGCACCCAACCTCCCATGCATCCAACCTCCCATGCACCCAACCTCCCATGCGCCCAACCTCCCATGCACCCAACCTCCCATGCGCCCAACCTCCCATGCGCCCAACCTCCCATGCGCCCAACCTCCCATGCGCCCAACCTCCCATGCACCCAACCTCCCATGCACCCAACCTCCCATGCACCCAACCTCCCATGCGCCCAACCTCCCATGCACCCAACCTCCCATGCACCCAACCTCCCATGCACCCAACCTCCCATGCACCCAACCTCCCATGCACCCAACCTCCCATGCGCCCAACCTCCCATGCGCCCAACCTCCCATGCACCCAACCTCCCATGCACCCAACCTCCCATGCGCCCAACCTCCCATGCACCCAACCTCCCATGCACCCAACCTCCCATGCACCCAACCTCCCATGCACCCAACCTCCCATGCACCCAACCTCCCATGCGCCCAACCTCCCATGCACCCAACCTCCCATGCACCCAACCTCCCATGCACCCAACCTCCCATGCACCCAACCTCCCATGCGCCCAACCTCCCATGCGCCCAACCTCCCATGCACCCAACCTCCCATGCACCCAACCTCCCATGCGCCCAACCTCCCATGCACCCAACCTCCATGCATGCACCCAACCTCCCATGCACCCAACCTCCCATGCACCCAACCTCCCATGCACCCAACCTCCCATGCGCCCAACCTCCCATGCACCCAACCTCCCATGCGCCCAACCTCCCATGCGCCCAACCTCCCATGCACCCAACCTCCCATGCACCCAACCTCCCATGCACCCAACCTCCCATGCACCCAACCTCCCATGCACCCAACCTCCCATGCACCCAACCTCCCATGCGCCCAACCTCCCATGCACCCAACCTCCCATGCACCCAACCTCCCATGCACCCAACCTCCCATGCACCCAACCTCCCATGCGCCCAACCTCCCATGCACCCAACCTCCCATGCACCCAACCTCCCATGCACCCAACCTCCCATGCGCCCAACCTCCCATGCGCCCAACCTCCCATGCGCCCCAACCTCCCATGCACCCAACCTCCCATGCACCCAACCTCCCATGCACCCAACCTCCCATGCACCCAACCTCCCATGCACCCAACCTCCCATGCGCCCAACCTCCCATGCGCCCAACCTCCCATGCACCCAACCTCCCATGCACCCAACCTCCCATGCACCCAACCTCCCATGCACCCAACCTCCCATGCATCCAACCTCCCATGCACCCAACCTCCCATGCGCCCAACCTCCCATGCACCCAACCTCCCATGCGCCCAACCTCCCATGCGCCCAACCTCCCATGCGCCCAACCTCCCATGCGCCCAACCTCCCATGCACCCAACCTCCCATGCACCCAACCTCCCATGCACCCAACCTCCCATGCACCCAACCTCCCATGCACCCAACCTCCCATGCACCCAACCTCCCATGCGCCCAACCTCCCATGCACCCAACCTCCCATGCGCCCAACCTCCCATGCGCCCAACCTCCCATGCACCCAACCTCCCATGCACCCAACCTCCCATGCACCCAACCTCCCATGCACCCAACCTCCCATGCACCCAACCTCCCATGCACCCAACCTCCCATGCGCCCAACCTCCCATGCACCCAACCTCCCATGCACCCAACCTCCCATGCACGCAACCTCCCATGCACCCAACCTCCCATGCGCCCAACCTCCCATGCACCCAACCTCCCATGCACCCAACCTCCCATGCACCCAACCTCCCATGCGCCCAACCTCCCATGCGCCCAACCTCCCATGCGCCCAACCTCCCATGCACCCAACCTCCCATGCACCCAACCTCCCATGCACCCAACCTCCCATGCACCCAACCTCCCATGCACCCAACCTCCCATGCGCCCAACCTCCCATGCGCCCAACCTCCCATGCACCCAACCTCCCATGCACCCAACCTCCCATGCACCCAACCTCCCATGCACCCAACCTCCCATGCATCCAACCTCCCATGCACCCAACCTCCCATGCGCCCAACCTCCCATGCACCCAACCTCCCATGCGCCCAACCTCCCATGCGCCCAACCTCCCATGCGCCCAACCTCCCATGCGCCCAACCTCCCATGCACCCAACCTCCCATGCACCCAACCTCCCATGCACCCAACCTCCCATGCGCCCAACCTCCCATGCACCCAACCTCCCATGCACCCAACCTCCCATGCACCCAACCTCCCATGCACCCAACCTCCCATGCACCCAACCTCCCATGCGCCCAACCTCCCATGCGCCCAACCTCCCATGCACCCAACCTCCCATGCACCCAACCTCCCATGCGCCCAACCTCCCATGCACCCAACCTCCCATGCACCCAACCTCCCATGCACCCAACCTCCCATGCACCCAACCTCCCATGCACCCAACCTCCCATGCGCCCAACCTCCCATGCACCCAACCTCCCATGCACCCAACCTCCCATGCACCCAACCTCCCATGCACCCAACCACCCATGCGCCCAACCTCCCATGCGCCCAACCTCCCATGCACCCAACCTCCCATGCACCCAACCTCCCATGCGCCCAACCTCCCATGCACCCAACCTCCCATGCACCCAACCTCCCATGCACCCAACCTCCCATGCACCCAACCTCCCATGCACCCAACCTCCCATGCGCCCAACCTCCCATGCACCCAACCTCCCATGCGCCCAACCTCCCATGCGCCCAACCTCCCATGCACCCAACCTCCCATGCACCCAACCTCCCATGCACCCAACCTCCCATGCACCCAACCTCCCATGCACCCAACCTCCCATGCACCCAACCTCCCATGCGCCCAACCTCCCATGCACCCAACCTCCCATGCACCCAACCTCCCATGCACCCAACCTCCCATGCACCCAACCTCCCATGCGCCCAACCTCCCATGCACCCAACCTCCCATGCACCCAACCTCCCATGCACCCAACCTCCCATGCGCCCAACCTCCCATGCGCCCAACCTCCCATGCGCCCAACCTCCCATGCACCCAACCTCCCATGCACCCAACCTCCCATGCACCCAACCTCCCATGCACCCAACCTCCCATGCACCCAACCTCCCATGCGCCCAACCTCCCATGCGCCCAACCTCCCATGCACCCAACCTCCCATGCACCCAACCTCCCATGCACCCAACCTCCCATGCACCCAACCTCCCATGCATCCAACCTCCCATGCACCCAACCTCCCATGCGCCCAACCTCCCATGCACCCAACCTCCCATGCGCCCAACCTCCCATGCGCCCAACCTCCCATGCGCCCAACCTCCCATGCGCCCAACCTCCCATGCACCCAACCTCCCATGCACCCAACCTCCCATGCACCCAACCTCCCATGCACCCAACCTCCCATGCACCCAACCTCCCATGCACCCAACCTCCCATGCACC